CATATATGAATATATTAAGACAAATATGTACTTTATGATATCAACAAACATATAGTTAATATAAACACATATATTGAATATAATATAAAAACAAAAAATACAATTAATATAAACAAACACACTTAGTATTAGTATAAAATAAACAAACATATAATTAATATAAACAAACATATAAATAAATATAGTATAAACAAATATATAAATAAATATAATATAAACAAACAACAATACTAGTACGTACACCGCTGCATACAAAGAAAAACCCCTTAAACAAATATTGCAGATACAAAACAAAATAAAGTCAGAGTAGTAGTTTTATGCTGCTGCTGCTGTGCATGCAAGAGCAGCAGCAGCAGCAGCAGCTGCTGCTGCTGCTGCTGTTGTTTCAGCAGCAACCAGCAGCAGCCATCTATCTGTCTACGCCGCCGTTCGTTGTACTTTCTCTTTCTGTGTTTGTTTGAGTGTGTGCTGCACCTAGCAGCAGCAACAACAAACAAACAAACAAACAACGACAACAACAACAACAGCAGCAGCAGCAGCAGCAGCAGCAGTTATGCTTCACGTTTGCTGCTCTCTTCAGGCTGACTAGGGAAATGTAAGAACTCCTGGCCACCCATATACGGCACCAGGGCCTTGGGTACTTTTACCCCGGTGGGTGTTTGATAGTTTTCGAGTATACAGCAGATACATCTTTGTGTGGCAACGAGAGTAGCATTAAGAAGATGTACAAAAGGTTTACTATCTGCTGCAGCAGGAGCAGCAGCAGCAGCAGCAGCAGCAGCAGCAGGAGCAGCAGCAGGGGTATTTGTATCTTTTTTATGTCCTAGCCGTATTTCAAATTCTCTGGATTGATAGTCTGTACAATTGCTGCAAGAAACTAATTCTCTGTATTCTGAATATCCAGGAAACCATCCTTCTAAATCATATTTTTTTGCTGCTGCATCATTGAGTGCACCTGAAACAATAGAAACAACACGATAAGGTATTTCAAGACTTTGATAGAAATCTTCAGCTGCTTTTATCATTTCTTCGTGAATATCCCAGGATTTTTCTGGCGAAGAAATTACAAATTGTTCTATTTTCTCAAACTGATGCACGCGGAATATACCCCAGCAATCCCGGCCATGAGCTCCAGCTTCCTTGCGGAAACATGTACTGCTTCCTGCATACTTTATTGGGAGCTGCTTCTCCTCCAGCCTCTCATGCATATGTAAAGCACATAGAGGTTGCTCGCTAGTTGCTATCATAAATAAATCATCCTTGTCGCCATCTTGCTGCTGCTGCTGCTGCTGTTTTGGTTGCTGCTGCTGCTGCTGCTGCTGCTGCTGCTGGGTGTTGTCGTGGGGTATGCGATAGAGGGTTTCTTCGAAATCTTTCAGTTCTGCTGCTGCAGCCATGATAGATTTCTTGAGAAAATACGGCGGCTGTATAGGCAGATACCCCCGCTGCATGAGGAAGTTGAGGCCGTATTGAATCAAAGCATAGTTAAGCATCACCGCGGGCCCCTTCAGGTAATACCCGCGGTGGCCTGCAACCTCTACCCCCTTCTTGAAATCAACGCCCTGCAGCCTCGCGAGTACCTCGTGGTGGTGCATGCGGCCTGGTGTTCCATCTATTTCAACTTTATTGGGGGTCCCCCACGTCTTAACAACTCGGTTGTTTGCTTCATCGTTGCTTACAGGCACAGAGTCATGCACTATGTTTCCAATGCCTCGTAGCAGTCTGTCTCGTGTTTGTGCTGCTTCTGCTGCCTGAGCCTCAAGGCTTTGCAGCTTTTGCTTGATGGCTGCTGTTTTCGATACAAGATCATCGCAGGGGGATTTTGGATCAGCTTTCTTACGCTGGCCTATCTCTTTGTTCACCGCGTTCAAGTCCTTTCTCCCCTGCTCCATATTATACGTGGCCTCGCGCCATCGTTTGTCTGCTGCCACCAGCTCATCAACAATTGCGGGATCCCGGCCTCTCCGTTTCTCGCTTTCAGCCACTTTAGCTGGACAACCACCCTTCTCCTCTCGTAGCAGGTTGATGTCGATCGTCATTCTCTAAACATGCACACACAGACGCACATGAAACACGACGGAAACATGAAATATATTCAACAGAACACAGCGAAATACCAAACGGATCGCAGAAGTATTTTGCAGGGCTTGTGGTTCTCATGAATAAAAAAAAATCCGTAGTCTGAAAAAAGATGAAAAAAAACAGAAACAACTGCTTAATCACAACGAGCCAGCAAATTCAAGAAAACAGACACAGGTATATGCGTCCGTGGCAACTGCAGGGAGGTGATGCAGCCGAAGAAGACTTACCAAAAAGAAAAAAAGTAAACTGAATGAGAAAAGTGATTATTTTATCTTCAAATTCAAAAAAACCTGAAAAGGTTTATGTTGTCATGCTCCTGCTGGCGCACATGCACACGGCCTCAACGCCAGGAGCTGCTGCTGCTGCCTGTCCTCAGTAACCTCAAGGACAGAAATCTGTGAATCACCGCTTATAAAGACTTAATTAAAACAACAATTCCAATAAGATCATTCTAAATGGAATTCTTCAGACACGGAGCGCAACGGCCCACACGGAGCTGCGAGCGGGCCCCGTTCGTCACCCATACATGTATAGATGGAAACCTAGGGTTTAGATAATGATTTTTGTTGTTTCAAGCTTGTAAAATGCATTTAAATTAACATTTTATTTATATTATTCAAGAAAACCGTCGGATTATGCGAGGAAAGCGCTATTTAGGAGCACTAGCATCACACACCTGAACTTGAATTTCGCACGGGGCTGGTTTTGTATGCAACGAAACCTGAAACAACAGCCCCCCCCACACCGTGGTTTCTTGTCGTTGCGTCTCCGTCTAGTGTATGCCCATCTCTTTTTTTTGCATTTTCTGAATTTAAAATATCAGAAATAAAGAAGATGAAAGTCTTCAAGTGCGTTTTCTCTGGAGATGAGCTCTGCTCAGACTCTTACCCCCATCTCGTACCTTTCGGGGACGACGCGTTCAAGGACGGTACATTCTTTTCTTTTCCTATTTCCCTGAATATAAAGCATTTCTCGTTGTTTTTATTTAATTTTTATATTTGTAATTCGCTTTCTACTCACGCAAATAAAACCAGAAAACACGCGGCCACACCCTCTGGTTTCCCGTGGGACGGCGTCAGGTGTTTATGCGACAGCTGAAAGCTGTTGCCTCGATCAGTGTAGAGGCCCAACAAAATACAGCGAAATATGATATATTATACTTATTATTATAGTATTATATAATATAATTCATGATTATATTTGTATTTAATATCTCACGCCGTTGGTTTCATGCATTTGTTTCGTTGTTTCTCTCGGTTTCTGCGTGC